TATAAGATTACAAGGCAAACAAAGCAAGCGTCTGGCCGAATCGATCCAGGTAGGAAGTACCTTGGCACTTCTGCAGTATCGACAAAGTGGTACAGCATTGGCACATCTGCATCAAACTAACCATTTTCCATAAATGATTCACTTTTCTAAGCTTCGTCTGCATCAAACTACCCCTGTTTTCCATAAATGATTCACTTTTCTAAGCTTCATTACCCTTGTCTGGCTTGCAGAACTGTCACCATACGAAGCAAAGGTAGGCTTAGTTTATTTTGAGCCTATTCCTTGACTTTAGATGCCAAAACCTTTGTCGTAGGGGTTTTGTAACCAAACGGGATAAGCACATGTATTTTCCTGCCACTTTTAAATGATGAATATTACTCTTCTGCTTCTGATTTCCACAGAACTGCCTGGAGGATCTCAGAGCAGCTCAGGCAGCTGCTCCTTGCAGGCAATGGTTCGTTTCCTCTGAGCTTCTACTGATGCTCTAGAGGCCGAGGGAGTGCTGCTGCAGACTCGGTCTAATCTCAAAACATGGATAAGATGAATGATGCAACCTCATCACTTCTGAATTCCCAAAGATGAACAATTTGGGAAATTTCCTGATACGACCCTCCTTTATTTTCTTTCTTGTTTGCTTTTCAGCCTACACTTTTTTACGTGCATCTGAGAAGCCAACTCAGACCTGTGCCTTACTTCCCCTCTGAAAATTTAGTAGTAAAAAATTCAGGATCTTAGCATTAGAAAAAGGCTTTGATACCAGCACGATACTGAGACTCTCTTGCATTTGCTTTAAGCTGTGGGTGATGGCGACTGTAGCATCACAAAATACTTCAGAGGTGGGAAGAGCCCTTCTGGCTCAGGAGGGCAAAGGAAGTTCGCAAAGCAGGAGACATGGTACAGAATAGAGGGTAAGGAAAGAACAGAACTGGCAGTGATGTCTCACACCATGTGAGACACTTTGGCTGATGACCAGACTAAGAAAAACACCTCTTTCCTAGTAGGTAGTCAGTAGGCTGATGCTAATGTCAAGGGTTCAGCTTTTCTCTATAACCTTCCTGAGATGGATGGAAGGATCAGACAGTAGCTGGAAGAGTAAACTAGTATGTTTTCGGCAGTGAGATCAGAAAAGACCTTTTGGATAGAGGTTAAATAATATGTATTCATTGGCATGAGCTACTCAAACTGTCTCTTGGACAATTTTTTCTCTAGGAGCTTGGGTAGAAACCCAGGAATTAAAACTTCTTGCAGCGAGTTCCCACTGAACCCATCCTTACACCAAAACTGGACATAAATCTGTGATACTTATATTTGAATATCTGGTAGAAAAAAAGCTGGCGATAGGGTACGGGCATCAACGTCTGCCTGGCTCTGCTCCCCACATCCAGCCCTGGGGCTGTCCTTGGCCAGAACAAGTGCTTTGGTCCTCTATGATCCCAGAGGCTTTTCTTCACATGTCTGATGTAAACATCTCCCTGCCCTTTCTGTTTTCCCCTGGACTTCGGGAAGGCAGGCCGCGTGTTGCAGCTCCGTTTGCTCTGGCAGCAGATGTTTTGGCATCCGCGCTGTCGACGCAAATCGTCCTCCAAAGCACCAGAGTCCTGTCTTTAGGCTTGTCACTGCATAGCACGTGACAGCCCCAAACTGCCTTTCACTTTGTCTCTGAGCTCTGCAGAGTCAGCCACCCCCACGGAGCATCGGGTTTCATAAAAGGAAGCAGCTAAGATTATCACAGGTAAGTGTAAACATAAATATTACCAGCTCCTAACACTGAGCATCATAATATACAGCTCAGGCATACCTGGGAGCATTAACCCTGCAGACACACACATCTCTTGGCTTTACTGCACAAACATTTGTGAGACTGGGCTTTGGCTGACCAGCAAAACTCTGACCTCTCTCAGCTGCAAAGAGTGGTCCGCGTTCCCATTTCAGTTCAGCTAACTGCGTTTTTTATTTTTTGAAGTTTAATCTTCATATTTCAAACCTGCAGAAAGCTTCCTTCACACCGATGAGAAATGGGAACTCAGTTTTAAAAAGCAGCGCGATACCTTGATGTTGCACAGAAAGGACCTAAGCCTGCAAGATACAGCGTGGATTTACTTGCAGGAGGTCGGTATGTGCTCGGTGGTTTGGTACCTCTCGGGATCTAAGTGTGTTTCTAAATAGCTTGGCCTGCCCTATCAGTTCCCCTCATAAATTGACTACGCTGTGAAATAAAAAAGACAAATTTCTATTTATCTCACTGGAAAACATGGGTTGTATTTTCTGCTATTTAAAGCCAAAGGGTCAGAGGGGGAGTTATCTGCAGTGACATGAGCTGAAATATGATTGTGAAAAAATAAAGATGGAAAATACAACGTGCCTTGCCAATTATGTGCCATAGCTAGCATTACTTCACATCCCTCTATAGAGGTCATAACTCATAGCTAGGAAAAATGAAGAACAGAACTCATCCTCTGCCTACTTTGGGGCGTGCCTCCTCCTTCCTTCGTAGACTAAGCTGGTCTTGCAGCTTTTTTTTTAATTCTTTTAAATCTTTCTTTAACCTGGCATGTGCAATTAATAAAAATTGTAGCTCAAAAAAAATTCATCAACGTATCTCCCTTTTATTTTTCTTCCCTCTTCTGTAACGCTTCAAAGTTTTGCTGGGGTTGATGTCTTAAAAATATTGTGCTGTCTTGAAACGAAAATGGCAGTTCCCTATAAATCGACAGGATGTTCTTTGCTGTACCGATAAATAAAACCGAGGTATTCTAAGAGACTTTGGGGGGGGTTTAGCCATTGCCCGCTTCCACAAGGTGAAGTTTGTTTCATCACCCGTTAAA